GCCCCGCGCCTGTCCTGGGCGCGCGCGCGGTGCACCGCGTGGCCCACGTACACCAGCGAGGGCGCGGACACGAAGATGATCTGCAGCACCCACAGGCGCACGTGGGAGATGGGGAAGGCCTGGTCGTAGCAGACGTTCTCGCAGCCCGGCTGCTGCGTGTTGCACACGAAGTCCGACTGCTCGTCGCCCCACACGAGCTCGGCGGCCGTGCCCAGGATGAGGATCCGGAAGATGAAGAGCACCGTGAGCCACACGCGCCCCACGACCGTGGAGTGCTCGTTCACCTCCTCCAGGACGCTCCCCAGGAAGCTCCAGTCGCCCATCTCCCGCGCACCTGGAGGGGGCAGCAGCAGACGCTGAGCGGCCGCAGGGCGCCCCACTCGGTCCCCGCCGACCCTGGGGGGACCTCCCCTGTCTGAGCTGCCGGGACAGCCCACCTGATAGGACGGCAGAGGAATCAGCTTCCACTAGCTCCCTTGTCTGAAAACCGGGCTTAATGGTAATAGCTGTACTCATTCGCTTCACAAGCCACCTAAAAGGATCTGTATGTGTGCAATCCCCCGAACGCCACCCAAAATACAGATCCATGGTCACCTGGAATGCAACCAAGAGCACAGGCGGAGCTAAGGTGCATGAGGCATAGGTAAGGCTCATCGCCTGAGCCCTGGGCCCCCAGCACGGCTCATGCAGGCCTGAGAGTGTCTGTAGCTACCTGACTTTTGACTCTGTTGAGCTACCTAACGATCACATGCTTGAAGGAAACTGGTATTGACTGGATGTCTACTTTGCGAGAGACCTCTGACGTTATGTTATTTCATTTAGTTTGATCCTGCTAGACTGCACTCTTCATGAGAACGTGGAGCACACTTGCTTTATTTACAGCTGGACACTGAGTGCTCCTCACAGAGCCCAGCAAATAATGAGAGCCTGAGAAGTGCTTGTCAACAAACTTGATTCCAACACAGGAGGAAGCTGAGGCTCAGGGAGGTTAAATAATAGTCTGTGATAAACTAAACAGCAGCAGTTCTGCCTGCCTGATTCCAAGGCCATGTCCATGACACCACTGAAATACACCGCCTGGGGGCAGAGCTACACAGCTCTCTGGCTCCCGTATTCTTAATTTATGTTTTCTCTTCTCCAGGTGGAAATCTGGAAACCCTACATAATAGCTTTACAACTGAGAGCAGTGTCTTAAAATTATTATCAATACCCTTTTAAACCCAAGGAATGGAGAGAGTGCTTTGGTGAGGAATCATGCTACAGAGGGAGAAAGCCACTGGGAAACCTTTAGTGTCCCACAGAATGAAAGGAGTTAGGGTCCATAGTGCAGTTATTTTAACAGAGCTAAAAACTGATTTGTAAAAACAAAAAATAGCAACCATTAAGTACGATAACATATAAAGCCCCAGCAACAGCAAACAACTAATGTAAATGTGGTTGAAGTGATAGGGGTGAGGTGTGCAAACTGGGCCATTCACCCAGTGCAAACCCGCTGTGCAAGCTGGTGCCCTGTGAAGGACTATGACAAAACTTCCACCTCAGTCTAGGACAGATGTCCCTCCAGCTTGGACATCTCTAGAGTTGTGGCATTTACTCATCACTGCCCTCAGACCTGGGCAAGAGTCCTTCTCACAGGTGCTGCTCTGGGCTTCTTCCAGCCACGTCCTACCCTATAGGATCAGGAGTCACATGGGGCCAAAGGAAAATGCCCACAATTTTGAATGACAGCGATATTTGTTAACACTTGAAAGAGTGATGAAGAGTGGTTTCATCTTCAGGAGAAGACGAGCAGAATGGCATCTGAAAGCCGCCTTCCAACAGCACTTGGTTGCCAACACTGATTGCAGGCATGAGCGATGCCCAACTTATGCTCTTGGGGTGCACAAAATCGCTGTCTGCTGCACATTGGAGGGCAGAGGACAATGCTCTTCTTGGTGCCCTGGAAACTCCCAATTAGGTGAGACATCCAGCAGCAGCTTCTTTCCTCCTGGGAAGGTGAGAGCAGCTGTGGCATCGCCAGTCAGCACGCTGGGGCTGGGAAGAGTTCCTTGTAGGAAAGGGGTATTGAGAGTGAGAGAGGATCCTCTCAGAACCAGCAGTTCAGAACCTCGGTTGTGTGTATCTAGTTATAGTTCTGCTGCTAACACTCCTCAAAGAGGTAAATCTAGTGCTTGCCCTGTAAAGAGTGGCAGCCATTCACATCATCTTTAAAAAAAAAAAAAAAAAAAGTGAAAAAAGGTGGGAAACATCACAATCAGGTAAGCAACCCAAGTATAAATCCTATTGGTGGTAGAGAAAATTTTTTTAAAAAAAATCAGAATTTCTTATCAAATAATTCATGTTAAAACAACAACTATGTATTTTACTCCTATAAGACCAAGTCTGGCATTGATGTACTCTAAGGCTAGTGTTGCTAATGTTTCATCCCCATTGATACATCAACTCGGTTTTGAAATCTTGCTTATATTGTATCATGTTTGTCCTTTGGGGTTTCTGTGTATTTCACTCATGTACCCACATGAATGTGTGCAGCCAGCACGTGCTCTCAGGACTGTATGTCTACAGTCTTGTTTTTCCCCTTTAGGAGCAATAGCTCTCGGAGGGCAGGTACCGTTTCGTCTTCATCTTCCGTGAACCATCATGACACAGAACAAAGACCATCACAGCGTGGGAGCTCCGTAGACACCAGTGGATGGGACCAGCAGTAATGATCTGAAATCTGACGTTCTCAGTCCCCCAGTGCATGTAATACCGGTATTACTTAGAGTCTAGGGAACTCGAGTCCTCTTTGCTGCAGGTAGCAGTGGGGAGACTGAGGGCTTGCAAACAAATGGCAAGTACTGAAAAAGGATAGTAAATTGATCCCAAACTTGCTGTTTTGAGACACTTTTGTATAAGATCAAACAGTGTCATGACACATGTTCACAACACATGAAGTCCTTCCTGACTACTCAAGCCAGACAGGACATCTCTTCCACACCCCACCCTGCAATGCTAGGGCTGTTTGAGTGTGTGTGTTTTTTTAAAGCCTAGTTACAATATTTCTTGTAAAATTGAGACAAACTGTAACTTAGGACAAACTCTTTTCAATTCCATGCCACTGGAACAGTCAACTGAGCTGTTACGGAGAAAAGCCTTAGAGGTGCTGAGGGAAAGCGCCTTAGGTTCCTGATGTCTAACAATCAAAATTATACTTGAAGGAAGTCAGAGCAAACTGTTTCACTGGAGCAGTGAGGAATCTAAAAGAATATTTCTCTTCTCTTCTTCAAAGATGCAATCCTCTGCTTTCTTTTGCTTGTGAAAATTTAGTGAACAGGTACAGATGGAAACTAAGCCCTGGAGTTCAAACTTCCAAACTCTGGTGGAGTTCAAACATCCACCAGAACATCCCACCAGCGGACCCTGGTTTCAGGTAAGGATTAAAATAACACCTTAGGTTTGGGGAGCCCTTATGTATTCATAAATTATATAGTTTCACATATCTTATTTCAGTCCTCGTAATATCCTGTGAACTAGGTCAGCGATTCTCAGACCAGGATTTCACAGACTAGTATAAAAACAACAAAATAGGGTGGCCACGGTACAGCTGCCAACTTCTTATTTTGCCAAGCAAGGACATAAAAATAAGAAACTTATTAAGCCACTAACTATGACTACAGTCCGTTTTCACCATCATTTCATGAAAGGGGAATTTTAATATTATAACACTAAAAATAACATAATTTCAGAGTGAAAGACCTTTAANGTCCGTTTTCACCATCATTTCATGAAAGGGGAATTTTAATATTATAACACCTTTATATCAAACACCTTTAACTTGGTGAAAAGTTTGCTATGTTGTTTACTACATCATCCTCACATTTTTTTCATAGGATGCTGAAAATTCACTGGGACCAGAACTGACAAGTCCACAGGTGGATGTTTGAGAACTAGTGAACTAGGCATTACCAGCCCCCATTACCAGGTAGGGAGACAGACTAGGAGGTAAAGTAAGTCTCCTGAGATGGCTCAGCTAGTGAGGGCAGAGATGGGCTGTGGGCCCTGGTTTCCCAGCGACAAGCCCAGGGCAGTTTCCAGCGCAGCATAGATTTCTCCTGGCTTTGAAGAGGCAGAACAACACACACACATCCGTATTAACAAGCTCCCCAGAGGATCAGAGGGCCACTTACTGTTCCTGTTGGTAAGGGACTGTAAATGTGCCTCCACTCATGTTTCTAGAGCATTCCCTTAGCCAGCAGCTCCCTGAGAGACAACAGAACCCACTCCCAGGAAGTTTTACAGTTCTTAGCCAGAGCCATTCCTGTGATCCATGAAACACTCCAACATCGAAAATGCTGAGCACGAAGCCTCCCCTACACCCACAGCACTCGATAGCTATAAAATCACCCCCACTGCAGAGCTTGAGTGAAAAAGTGCAAAACTGATAAACATCAAATGCGTGCCTCTGGGTTCCTGGAGGCGTGTTAATTAATTCTGAAAAGTGAAAAGACCCTAAAAAGTCAAGTTGTAGTTACAATTTGGACATCTCTGAGCCCCCCTCCCCATTCCTACATTCCTTTCCTTTCTGCAGGGTTTTCAGAATTGAACTCTAAGTCCAGCCCTTCCAACCCAAGACTGAATCTTAGTGGAAACCATTTCCCTTTTGGAGAAGCCCAGAAATGGCCCTGAGATTAGACTGGGAAGGGGGGGGGGCGGAGGCTACACACTAATATCACCCAAAGAAAACTTGCCAATAAGAGTAGGGTCCCCTGGAGAAATAGGCGCTCTCTCCCTTGGCGCTCAGCAGCAAAATGGCAACTTTGGCTTCTTCCCATTGGCGCCTAAAAGCCTGCCTCCCACTTCTCTGCCCCACCCCTGCTGTGCTGCGCGACCGAGCAGAAACGACTGGATTGGCCCTGATGGGTAGGTTTTACTGTCCAGCAATATTTTAAGCTCCCAGCCAGACAGCTTTCATGAGGGGAGGGATGTTTGGAAAACAATAGGAGAGAGAGAATGGGAGAGCGATGTTGGGCACTGGGGAGGAGGGCAGGGGAGCTGACGTGGGAAAGCTCAGATGGGGCTTCTGCGGCCTCTGAAAGTGTCTTTCAGTGGCAGACAGGCCCTCTACGACAGGAGCCTCTGGCTTCCCTCCGGGGGCATGAGTGCAGGGGTATTATCCCAATGTCTCATCAGCAGCTTAGAGAGTCGTAGGGATGTAGGAACAGTAAGAGGTCACCTTTGTGCACCCCTCTGCTCTGAGCCAGACTGTGCCAAAGACACCCCAGAGAGAGGTTGGTTTTTTCAGAGGACAATATTTTACCCTCTTTTGGTGGGTCTTGCGTCTCACAACTTTCAGTAGGGCAGCCCCCTCTCTGAAAAGCAGCCTTAATACTCCCAAGAACTCTCGCACCATTTGTCAAGGTAATGACGTTTCCCACCTGTTTCACTCATGATTACAAATACGTAAAAGTTTTTAAAAATTGATTCTGGAGAGGAAAGGGGGAGAGAGAGGAAGAGAGAGAAGAAGAAAGAGAGAGAGAGAGACACCGATGTGAGAGAGAAGATTGATTGGCTGCCTCCTGAACGTGAACCCGCCACCTTTGGTGCACAGGATGAGCTCCAACCCACTGAGCCACGCCTTCCAGGGCCACGAATACTTTTGAGAAGCTGCAGAATCAGGGGGATTCTACACCATCAGCTATTAGTTTTAGACTTTAGCTTTTCCATCTGTGAAGAAGGGTTAGGAGGTTTTTGCTCACCGAGGGCCTCTTGGATGACATGCCAGTGTGGCTTAGTGAGGACTGAGGGCCTCTTGGGTGACATGCCAGTGTGGCTTAGTGAGGACCGATGCTCTGCCTCTCTGAGGCCCACTCCCGTCTCGCTGTCTGGGGCTGACTATTGTAGTGGTATAAAAAAACTGGTTGTTTTGATCACATTTTTTTAACCAAAAATTGGGTCATTATTATTCTCTAAGTTTATTTGTGGAAACAATGGATAAAAATAGTTGAAAGAGGGATTGTTTAAGGAAATCTCAATGCATGATTACTAAATGGAAGGCAGCTTTGAGGGTTAACACAAAAGAAATCCAAGTGCTTGCCCCCTCCTCCAGTTTCCTATTCTTTCTGGTGTCATGGGCATATTGCATTTTTTAAAAAAATATATCTTTATTGATTTCAGAAAGAGGAAGAAAGAGGGAGAGAGAGATAGAAACATCAATGATGAGAGAGTCATTGATCAGCTGCCTCCTGCACACTCTCTACTGGGGTTCGAGCCCGCAACCCGGGCATGTGCCCTGACCAGGAATCGAAGCGCGATCTCCTGGATCCGAGGTCAGTGCTCAGCTGCTGAGCCACGCCGGCCAGGCAGCAGATTGCATTTTGGTGGCAGCAGTTTGAAGGAGGGTGGCACCAATGTTGTGTGAGTCTAAAATTTTATTTTTATTAAAATGCTCAGTAGCCCACAGCCTTATTTACTTTAGAATTTGGATTTCTTTTTAACTTTCAAATTTGAGAGCCCACACTGACTAGGACAGTGCCCTCTAGGGAATCCCTCAGTCAAAAACAGCTGTTCAAGGCTGCTCCCCAGTATCAATGAAGTAAGTCAGAGGAGAGAGGGAAGAAATGTGGTCATTCTTTTGAGAACATTCATTTAATGTAAATTCCCGGAGCTTGTGCTTTCCCTGAGACATTCCAGAACCTACAAAGCTTCTTTTCAAAATGAGCTTCCATCCAGGGCTGCCCAGCCCAACTTGGCTAATATGGGGGGCGGCCCCATCTCCTGTCATCATGTGTGAGAGATGGTAGTAGAGATGGTGTGAGTCTGGGAAAAGCAGGGAATGTCAACAGACCTCTGAACCAATGATAGTCTCCCAGGCTTGGTAGAATCTCACTTTCCAATTTAGCATTTTCTTTGCTTATTTACTCTGTTGACATTGAAGACACTCTACTAATAATGCCCAGTTGATTGAATTTCTGTTGTCAGTTCTCCTTGCAGCTGGAAAGTCCTCGAAAACAGAAAGACTTAATTCCATACCTGTTGAGGAACGTTTTTAACGAGACGGGGAGAGAGGCTCTTATAGCCATCCCTGAGAAATGAGTTGCCTGTTCCTATCAGGAAGGAGTCAGTTGCTCAGGTTTTCAGAGGGTATCTTCTCATGGTGGTCCTATTGTTTCATTTGATATAAAGAAATCTCTAGGAGATGAGATTTGCCACATTTAAATGCAAATACCAGTTCTGTAATCATATAGAATAGGTTATTAAATTATTGACCTTCTGGATAACCTAATGGTGGCCTTGTTTTGCCAGAGAGTGTTTTGGAAACAGGCTCAGTTATGAGTAGTTATGAGTGCAAAGGTAGGACCTGGCTCTGGGTGTGGCTCTCTTGCTTTCTATTTGTGGGCAGCTTGCTCAGCCCCTCCAAGCCTCAGTTTCCTCACCTGTGAAACAGAGATGATAATAACTGCCCTTCCTGTTTTGTGAAAAGGACTTTTGATAACGAGGGTGGCTACTGATTAACCCATGCAATGCTGTGAATCTCTGACCCTCGTTGATTAGTTTGCTGTGAGCTCTCCCCCTCTGAGTGTGACTGTGTCCTATGCCGCAGGGTCACCTGTTGTTTTGTTTCTAAGAGTGCCTTGACCAAGGTCATACACTCCCCCTTCCACAGGGAAAATGCCAGAACTGAGAAAGCTCAGAAGAGATTGTTGGCCCCAACCCCCTTATTTTATAGATGAGGAAACCAAGGCTCTGGGTGGAAATGATACCCAGAGGTCATGGCATGGCTCTGTGCCCAGGTGTATTACATAGGAGGTTAGAAGGGGATATGTGCCCCCAGAAATGAAAAGTATGGCAGGTGGAGGGAGGTGGCGTTCACGCAGACCTCACTGAGAAGGTAAGGTTTGGGTTGACTTTAAAGAAGGTGAGGGAGGGAACCGTGGGTGTGTGTGGGGAAGAACAATCCAGGGCAAAGGCCCTCAGCAGCAAGCAGGCCAGAGGGGCTGGACCAGAGTGGGAGAGAACAAAAATGGTTGGGAAGTGTAATTTTTGTCTCTTGTTTATCCAATTATGCTTTGTTTGCTCGCACCTTTTTAAAACCCCAACACCAACAGATGAGATACTCAGCATTCGATGTGCAAACTTTGCCCTTCCTGTCCACCACGGGCTGTTGCTGAGACTGTGTGCCTGGCGCTGTGCCCTGTGGATAAGGCCCAGGCCCATTGCAATGCCTGGCTAATGGAGTGTGCAGAGGCCTCATGTACATGTGCTCAAGGAGAGGGGGATGGTGGGGAAGCTGGTCTCCCAGCCTGAACCCCTGATCTGGCCTTAGGACTGGGCCTCCACCTTGCAGGAAACTAAATATAAACGTGGTTAGTGCCAGGCTATGGCCTGAGGTGGTCTTAGCATCATTACCAGCCAGCTGCCTGACTTCAACTGAGTGTCTCTGCCTCTGTTTTCCCTTGTGAAAAATGGGAACCAGTGCCTACTTCAAAGAATTGTAGTGATTAAATAAAACAATGTGTGGCCCGGCCGGGCGTGGCTTAGTGGTTGAGCATCGACCTAGGATCCAGGAGATTGAGGTTCGATTCCTGGTCAGGGCACATGCCGGGGTTGTGGGCTTGATCCCCAGCAGGGGACGTGCAAGAAGCAGCAGATCAATGACCCTCTCTCATCATTGATGTTTCTGTCTCCCTCCCTCTCCCTTCCTCTCTCTGAAATCAATAAAGATATATTAAAAAACACACACAACGCCAACAAACAAAAAACCAATGTGTGTAAAGCTGAGTTCAGTGTTTGGCATATCATAAGCACTTGATAAATAGTCACTGTGTTAACGATTATTAGGAGGAAGGTTTGGATACTACTGGAGAAAGTTCAAGGGTTCTTCGCTTCACCTGCATAGGGATCCATGCCTGCTTCCTCTTGTTTGTGCCACCTGGAGAGGGCCATGGCCCTCTCTGTCGCTTCTCTCTGGCCGATTTGGTTGTGAGCCAGAGATTCTTCATCGTAGCAGTTTGGCCGAGATTCAAGTGCTCCTGTGCCCTGAGGGGCAAAGGGTGGGCTGGAGGGGGCAAGGGGAGGGCACTTTCACTCATTAGAGGATTTCCCGCACAGACAAGTGGTCAGGACAGGGCGGGGCTCTCCATTGAAAGGAGCAGCTCATGCGTGAGAGCAGATTGTGCCGATTCTATAGAGCATACCCCCTCCGCCTGGGCTTCTCCAGCTAACAAAGTTATCTTTCCCAATCTGCTTAGGCAGAAGGGGACACGTTTCCCGTCCTTGCGCTGAGCACGCAGAGCAGGCGGGACCGGGCCAGGGCTGGGGCTGGCTCTTGGCTGTCCTTGACTCCTCCCGTCCCTGCTGCAAGCCTTGGGTTCCCCTCAGCTGTCCCATCACCTCGAAGAGGGAAGCACAGGCCGCAGGAGCTGGCACTGGCCAGTGGTGAGACGATGGTGCTGCAGATGTGTGGAGAGAACATTCCAGAAGAGGGGCAGGGAAAGAGGCTGTTGCAGCCTAACATCCACCGGGGCGGGAGCAGTTACTGAGGCCGTAGGTCAGTGGGCCGCACGGTGATTCCCCAGGCCAGCCACATCAGCAGCGCCTGGGAACTTGTTCGGAACGCAGGCTCTCAGGTCCCACCCAGACCTCCTGGATCAGAAACTCAGGGCGGCTCCAGCAGGCTGTGTTAACAAGCCCTCCTGGCGATTCTGGTGCCAGCTTAGCTTTTAGCAATGCTGCTCGAGGCAGCCCCAGCCACTGACCTTGTCCGCCTGGCTGCGGTACCCAGA